CAGAGCACATTGGACCGCAGTCAAGAATATCCTTAAGTACCTTTGGAGGACCAAGGAATGGTTTCTGGTTCTCGGAGTGAGTGATGACTGAAAGGTGCGAGGGTATAGTGACGTCAGTTTCCAGACGAACAGGGACAACTACCGTTTGCAGTCGGGCTGGGTCTTTACCCTTAATGGAGGAGCAGTGACTTGGAAAAGTTCCAAGCAAGAAACCGTAGCTGATTCAACGTGCGAATCAGAGTACATTGTAGAGAGTGAAGCATCAAAGGAGGCAATATGGCTGAAGAACTTCATTGGAGACCTTGGAATTGTACCTGCCATAACGGAGCCTATGGAATTTTTTTGTGATAATGAAGGAGCGGCTGCCTTAACCAAGGATCCGAGGGATCATGGTAGATCTCGATATATCGAAAGAAAATATGACTTTATTAGACATCGGGTAGAAGAAGGAATCCTCGCAGTTAAGAAGATATCATCAGAGGAGAACCCAACAGATCCGCTTACAAAGGGACTGAGTAGGGTTAAGCATTTGCAGCACGCTAGGAGCATTGGGCTGAAGGACAATATTAGTTTGGATTAGATAGTTTAGAATTGAATAATAGATAATTGTAATTGACATTTGATGATTAAATAAAGGAGTGTTATTTATTAGTATAGCTACTGTCTTATGTTAATTGGTTGACTATTATTTTGCTTTGCATGTTTTGACTTCCTGAATAATTGAGTTAATTAAGAATAATCGAATTATTCAAACGAACCACAGTTGTTCATATGTTGGAAGTAGGTATGAATGAAGACTATCATGAATTGGTGTGTAGATTGTCTGAATGGTATTAGACGTAACAAAGGTTTGTTACAACATTCATGAGTGCTTATAAATAAGCTTTGAGCATTGGAATAAACCCGCACTTGCTAGAATCACTTCATGGAACATATCACGAGTGATCGCAAGATGATAATATCATATGGTCTTAAAAGTAAAATATATGGTTTATTGGTTACTGCCTGATTGTACATTGATATTGCGAAACCGCATCAGTAAAGTGATGTCATAAAATGCATTGTTGTGTACAATTGATTAGCGAGTAGTAAATACATATAAGTCGAATTTTATCTGTTTCTTTTATCCTTAGAGGGTAAAAGTGATATCAGGGCCCCTCAATGATTTTGATTTGACTTATGTGTCGGACCCGGTCAGGACTGAATTGATGTGTTCAATTAAGTTCTATGTCAAATGAATCTGAGATCGAGAAACTAGCTGCTAGACAATAAGTATGATTATGTTCCATGAGATTGTCCGCACGATATCTAAAACAGAGGACTATACGATCCCTTATCTAAAGGACAGGTTACTGACAAGATCAGAGTTCGACAGCGTCTTTGAGAGCTATGATTGCTAATCGAGTTATACTTACATTTGTGGTAACTAGACTTATCCAAGTGGGAGACTGTTGGATTAATGTCTAAGCCCGTAACCATATTTGGTAAGTACTTAACCTAGTTGTGCATGGTCCTTTTGGGTTGCCTTCACCAAAACAACTTGATTGGACAAATGATAGAGAAAGAGGTTATTATGATTTATTAATATATTATAGGAATAATATATTAATAGGAGAAATCATATTTGTTTTAATTAATATTGGTCAGTAATTAATTAAGAATTAATTTTGTGAACAAATTTATTTAATTAAACTGCAGGGGGTGAATTGTAATTATATGATAGTTACAAATTAGGGCATTGGATGCCCTATGTGAGAGGTGGACGAATTCAAGGGCATAAGGCCCTTGAAATCGTCCAAGGATAAGGACTTTCAAGGCTTATTTTATGGTACTTGGTGGGCAAGCAACTAGATAAGGATAAGGACTAAAGCCCTGATCTACACCTTATATAAAGACCCCTAAGCCTAAGGAAATCACCCACTTAATTTCCTAGGGTTCCTAGATCCGATTTCTAACCTCTCTCCTCTCTCTCTCTCTCTCTCTCTCTCTCTCTCTCTCTCTCTCTCTCTCTCTTTTTCTCTTACCTCCCCATTTGCTTGTGGTGTTTGTGAGCCATTAGAGGTACTACACTTGTGGTACTTGCTTTCAAGACTAAGAGATTGAAGATTAGTGTTGTTATTGCAATATAACAACAAGAGGTATGTGATCTACTCTTTTATACAAATTTCGAAATATATACCTACTGGCTAGGGTTCTTATTGTGTTCATAAAGTTGTGTATCCAATAGAGAAAACATAGATCCAAATCTAGGGTTGCATGCACACATATGATTTTTTGTACAAAACCCATCAGATATAATATTGATTAGAAATCATATTTTTTAATTAATATTTAATTTGAAATTAATTTGGAATTAATTTTAGCATTAAAGGGAATTAATTGAAACTGCAGGGACTAAAGGTGAAAATGTTCAAAAGTTGAGCATTAAAGCATTCTAGAACCTCCCTTAGAGGTATGGAACGAAATCTAGAGTGTCCTAGGGTTTCCTTGGGCTCTAAGGGTGCCTTGGAAACCTTATGGAGGCAGTTAAGGGATTAGGGTTATCTAAGATACACTGCCTTATCCTAAACCTTCTTTATCACCTATATAAACCCCTATAGGGTTGGATTTCGTTGAAGGCACTCCAAGGAGGCTTAGATCCTAATTTTCCACTTCCCTTCTGTCTCCATAGTAATCCTTGGTTGCTAGGTTTGCTTGTGAGCCATTAGAGGCGCGACACTTGTTGCGCTTGCTACCAAAGATCAAGATCTTCAAGGATTTGGTTGTTATTACAATATAACAATCAATGTATGTATCCTAACCCTAATTGTATGTTAATTTCAAAAATTACATGTGCCTCCTAGGGTTTTCTAGTTTTTGTGTTCAATACTTGTATATCTAATAGTGAAGAACATAGATCCTCAAATTAGGGTTGCATGCACACATATGATTGCTTGCTATGTATAAAACCCATCACTAAGGAAATATCTGAACAATACATTAAGAATAATTAGAGAAATAATGTGATATCAAGGGATTATGATTTTGGTAGACATGTATATGATACATGAGACAGTGAAATTAACAGATCTGTCAATCAAGCATACTACAACTTTCAAGCATGTTTGGGTTACGTAAGAAAAAATAAAGAAAAAATGAACTTCTTTGTTAAGAAAACATAAAGCTTGCTGAAGGAATACAAAAACGATCCTACGAATGAGGTGCAGAAAATAGGAAAGATGTTGAAGAGGTAGGAAAGCATATGGGCATATCTATTTCATAAGACATTGACATCAATGTTCCAAATGTTCAAAGCAATAAAGGAAGCGGAAAGAAAAATAGAATTCAAAGTGCAGCAGAAATAGCGTATAAAAATTCAATCAAGCAAACAAGAAGATGCTCAGGATGTAGAGAAAGGGCTCATCATAACTTACGAACATGCCCAATCAAACTTGCAGCATAATAATCATCAAAAGCTACACAGATAATTACTGCTTTAATCAATAATGAACAAGTCATGAATTTTTTTCTAAATAATGTACTTTTTGTTTAGTACACTTTACTCTTTTTATAAAACAGAATTTACTATGATTTTGTTTACCGGATTTAATCTACTTTAATAATTCTTTCTTTGATTTGATAATATGTTCATTCATGAGTAAACTTATATTAAATGTTAGTACAAGCATTTAGGATTACATATAAACTGTTATGCAATACATGTAGTCATTACACATAACCATATACAATATTCATTTGTATAATCATAAAGTATTATGTAATACAACTACTTCATATGTTTTGTTTAATCATTACATATTAAAAATATGATTACACATAAATGACATCTAACCATTACATATAACCATATACAACAACATTGTTCCTAAAAAAATATACAACACCGTTCATAAAAAATCTAAAGATAACAATATTCATCATCATAGAATAACATCAAACACGATAAAATCTTAAATAACAAACAATTTCACAAGTCTTAAATATCACGTTCCCCATTTTCTAATATTCTTGTTCTTCATATTCCTAGCTAGATTTTTATACAAATTGTAGCTGACTCGAAGAATACTTCCACCATTACTTATAAAGATTATCAACATTGAACATAACACATCTTTACTACATATCTGATTTAGATAAATATTGTTCATTAAAAAGAAATCTTCTTTAAATGAACAACATTCCTATCCTTCAAAGACATCTAGTAAAGATTTGATATGTTTAGTGCAGATAAACTTTTTAAGTAATGGTGGAAGTGATGTTCTTTGAGTCAAATACAATCTGTATGAAAATCTAGCTACAAATAAAAGAACAGGAGTCTTGAAAAAATGGGGAACATGTAATTAGAGTCCATAATATACCTGAAATGAAATGGAATTTGTTTACATCACAAATAATCAATTGTGATATATAAAAAAAAATAAATTAAAAATGTAGAAATTAATATAACAAACCAACCATTATAGAAGCATAAGCAAATATAAATGGTGCCACGAGGCTACCCCTTTGATAAAAACAGATTACAACTCAATGGAAAACATGATTCCTTTTGATTCATAAAGGAAAGATTATTCGCTACAAACACTAAAAAACAAAAGTAGAATCTTAGAAAGATAAGATTCTACATGGTGATGTGTTCGATGCACTAAATATAAGCTCACTTATCAATAAAAATATATAATAAATTATAGTGTGCTATACAACATATGTAATCATTTATGATTACAACAAAATATAAAAATTAATTGATACAATCACTAATGATTACATATAACCAACATATAATCAGTACTAAAAACATAATTACATATAAAAATATAACATAATCAGTTGTGATTAACATTCAATAACCTAATAAAATCCACCAAACTACATATGAACTTGTTTTCCATCACCATAAAAAACAAACATTCTTCAAAATATCCATAACATAAGACAACATAAACAAACTTGTTCTTAAAACATCATCCATTCATTTACTTCTAAAATAAGAAAATAATCAATCAAAAAAACCTTGATAGCCTTGTTTCTATATTCCATTGAGTATCATATGCATGCTTACCACGAATCTTTAGATCAACTTTTTGATACTCATACGCAACTTTCAACACATCATTACGTTTTGTATTAATCTCAGAAGTTAAAATTGTTGCTGCATATTTCATTCTCAACTTCTCCAAAATTTTTTCTTGAGAAGCACCTTTTTTTGGAAGACCATATTTCCATTTAGAACCTTTTTCTACATAATAACTCTTCATATGTCACATACAAAAAACTCCACAATCCACTTTGTTATAAACTGTCCTCCATAGCATTATCAATCTTACTGTCGTAAGATTTTTATAAGCCATTTCATTTTCTTTAACACGATTGATCTCTTTTAGATAATTCAAAAAATACTTTTTTTGAAAATCATATATGATTTCAATCCAAAATAATATAAGTATAATAATTATAAAACATATCATATATGATTTCAAATCTAAAGAATAAATATCATTTGAAACTTACAAGAGTTTTAAACACTACACCATACTTATCATCGAAATCAGCATCATCCGCACCATTATCGATAACCTCAAAAGCACTTTTCTTCAGATTGATAACAATAACATATATGTGCTTATGCGTCAAAATAGGGAAAATTTTCTAACATCAACATGTATAATATTAGAACGAAAACATTAATATATATATATATATATATATATATATATATATATATATATACACACACACACACACATACCATATCAACATCCTTTAAGTCTCTATCACCATAAACACTAGAACAGAAACTCTCCTTGAAAATTTTATATTTTGCAGTTTCATTCAAATGATTATATTCAAATGACAAAGTCTATAATATAAGAAAATCATAAATGATTATATAATAATATATAAATATTTAACAAGAAAACTATGAATGATTATGAAACTATGAAAAGCAAAGAATAAAATAAAAACTTATAGTCTTAGAATTCATGAACAATCTGAGTAGAGAATTAACAACATATCTGAATTTCTCTTGATGATTTAGTATACGAGACCATGAATCAAGAACACTTACATGTAAATAGGTTTTTTAATAACGACTTTCAAAATTAGCTCTAAAACCAGTAACATCTGCTTCCATAAGCAATACAATATCCATGTAGATATTTATTTAAATGTTATTTAAAATAAAAAAAATTATCATTATAAAAATAAAAAATTATATTAAAAAAATTACCTTGGATTTCCTTGAAGTCTGAAAAGTCATTCACAAACAACATTTTCTACTCGTGTCAAACTTGGTTTAAAATCAATTAACTTTCTTAAATTGTGACTAATAAACATAAGAAAACTTCATTTCTCTCTTTCCTGTGACATCCACTACTGATGTTTCTTCTTCATTTATATCTTTAGATTTTCCAAAAACAGGTTTTGATGGTCCTTCTAATGTACCCATATGGGGTGCAAAGAAACTGGACTAGCATCAATAACATTAACATTCGGAATAACACACTCTCGACCAGCGCTTAGTTTTCCCAAATAAACTCTATCCTTAATCTTTTTCTTTCTCATCTGTTCAAAAGAAATTTGACTTCGAGATGACTTCTTGGAACCTTCTGAATCTTGAATAAATCCAAGACTAAAACTTGGAACAATTTCATTTTTCGATGATTGAGTCTCATTTGAATCCCTATACTTATTTGAACATTCTTCAACAGTTTCTACCCAATAAAATTATAAAAATCATATATGAATAAACAATAATTATAAACACAATCATATATGAATAAACGATAATTATAAACAAATTACCTCCATCTTTGTTTTTATTTTAACAATCGTGTATTTCTTTCCCTAAATCCAATGAACTTCAACATCTTCACCTTCTCCATCCTTCATTGCTACAATAACTTTATCAAGAGTATGATTTGAAATTACTTTTTTCTTATGATCATCCTCACCCAAATTTACAGTCCCCAAATTATTAAAATCATAACTATCATTTATATAACATATTTATATATTTTTTATGTATTAAAAATACATAAATAAATACTTATGATCATCAAAACTATTCAAATTCTCATTCACATCATCTTCAACTTGTTTCTAATTTACAAAACCATCAGTACCTATAAAATTCAAATATAAAAAATTAAAATCATATATGATTAAACTATATATAATAATAAAATATGCGTAACTTCATCCAAAGTTTTAAGAAAACTTTCAGCAACTAGATCGCAAATAAATTGACTAAAAGATACACCTTCCTGGCCTCTTAGTAACATTTCGACAACATAATTTAAATTCATGGCCTCTTCTTTATTACATCCATGTCCATTTCCTTGTTCATCATCTTCATCATCTTTCTCACTCAACAAATCATTATTTTTACCAACATCATCACCTTTACCAATATTGCCCTCATGTGGACCACTTCAATCCCCCGGACCACCAGAACATTTCCCTTGATCATAATCTTCAAAATTTTCATCATCATTAAGAAAATCATTCCCATAATCTTCATCATTAACATAAATAAAACCAGGTGTCAATATTGGTTCTTTACTTTTTTGTGAAACATAATGGAAATCAAAAAATTTATGTTCTTAAATCTTCAACAAGAAATAATAATTTCCAAATTTTCAAATTTTCACTTTGAGGAAACTTCAACACTCTGTCATCTATCTTTACAATAAGATCCTTTTTCAAATCCTCCATCTTCTGATACATACATGAAATTTTACTTTCACACGCCTACATAAGAAAAAAGATACTTATAACTAAAATACCTAAACATAGAAAGCCATAAATGAATAAAACTATAGAATTACCTCCACATTGCTAACTTTATTAACATCAAAATCTTCTTCATCCTCATCACATAAATCCTCTTCACCATAAGATTCATCCTCATCAACACCAGATTCCTCCTCATTATGCTTAGATTCTTGAAATTCTTCTTCAACATATGTTTCATTAACATGTCCACATCCAAATCCTCCACTCGCTTGTAAAATATCCACATGAAACCTTATCTTCTCTGACGTCCAATAAAAAATAGTTGGACGTTTACGTGTGACTTGCAAATGATCAAACTTGAAAGTTTCCACATACAACAACTACAAACAAACATATATAACATCATAACAAGTATAAAATCATATATGATTTTGATGTGTAATATATAATTAAACAAAAATTATACTATATAATCATATATTATTATATGTAATAAAATCATATATGATTTATTATAAAAACAAACATGCTTTTACAACTAAAAAGAATAATTAATATCAAAAAATAACTCATGTACCATAAGGTATGTTGCTGGTCCATAAAAGAAAGAAATTCTTTCTGTGGATTTTAAACCTTCTTCGTCCTTACCAAATAATCAACAATGTAATCGCACCTGTCAATGCTACTTAAATAAATATCTCTTCTGATTAAATACAATGGATTCAGATTGCATTTACCCATGCTTATAGACTCACATAAAGTATTAATAAAAAGAACCAAAAAATTGATTCTGAAGTTATCATACGCAGCATTATTTCGAACAAGTTCATTCTTTAGCTGTTTCAATCTCAATTTATCAATATTTTCATATTGTTTCTTCCACTCAAACATACAACTCTCTTCATGATTCTCGGAAATGTAATCCATGTTTGAAAGTAATGAGCCACCAGATGGCAATCCTAACATCTCTTGAACAGACTTACTTTCAACACTAACTTGACAATTCTCAAACTCCACCTTCAAAGTTTCAAAATTAAAATGATCAAGAACATAATAAACAATCTTCAACGATACGTCAATCATCTTCATCCCTAACAAACTCCCAAATCCCATAGCCCTAACACAATCCTTATGTTCTCTACTTAAACCTTGAATGACACCCAACAATGACCCGGGTGAACATCTATTCTTCAATGAAGGAAATTCTTTTATAACAGCAACTTTTTTATCTTTCTTCAAAACTTTACTTTCTCTCTTTGGTTTCTTTGAAGATCCAGGACGACTCTGAAAATATGAATCATCTTCATCAGATAGTTCATGTTTCCTACTTACAGTTTTGACCATAACCCTCAGCTTCTGTCACACCCCAAAACCGATAACGGCGGAATACGTTTCGGGGTGGATGACGTAGTGTACAGTATCATCACAATTGTATAATAGTAAAAGCAAGAGTCATACAACCATTTCATTTATATAGTAAGTGTATTTACAAGTGTGTTTTGTAAAGTTTGACAAACACCAAAAGTAAACAAAAATAAGAGATGGGTCTTGTATCCTCCATCTTCTCCAAAAATGCTGCTGCTGTACCTGTCTATCTTTGACCTGAAGATACAAGTTATTTTGAAAAGAATATCAGCATAAAGCTGGTGAGTTCATAAGAGTTTTTAGTGTGAGTACTTGTATAAAAGCATTAGAGTCATTAGTATGAAAACTGAAGTTTGAAATCATAAATAGTGGTAAAACCTAGAAAATCCCATATTTTCCAGAACTGTATAGTAAGTGAAAATCTTTAAGAAATATGTTGTTTCTATCCTTGAATGCCATTTATCATAGAAGTGTAATAGTGACTCATCATTATGTAATGTAGTATAGTGAGTTATTCTTAGAGTATATAATAGTGGTGCGGCATCCTTTAGTATTAGATACTTATTTACTTCGGGATATTACTTCATCTTTCTTTTAGTATTCTAGTGCGATTATAGTGTCTTTCTAGTATATTCCCAATAGTGTGAGTAATAGCGAATCCCCATGACCTTCCCGGTCATGCATAGTGTAGTAGTGTAACAGCATCCCTGGGCTTGAGCGGCTCGGACTGAAGTTATCAGTTGGGATGTAATAGCGTCTGCCCCGTATAGATCTATACATATAGTGTCGTCTTCCTGTCGGAAAACATCGGGCATAGTGAATAGCGTATAGAGTATCCCGTAGTGGATTAGTGAGTTATCTCATAATTAGTGCATTCTCTTATATTATAGTGTAGTAATCTTTCGTATAACTTGTATTGTATTCTCTCATTAGTGTATTGCTTCATAGTATATAAAATTATAGTAGTGTAGAGTAATAGTGGAAACTAGGGATAGAGTCCTTAACTATACCCATTATAGTTAATTTAGTGTATGTGGTTCAAGTCAAGTAGTGATTCAGGTAATTAATGAATTAAGAAGTACTCATAATCTGTACTAATATATGAGATATATAATTAAGAAATCAATGACAGTCGGATGGATAACTACTACCCTAAGTCCACAATCAAACAAGAAACAGGAAATAAGGCGAGCTATCGGTCCTAAGTCTTTCAAATCTTACTTATATAAATATATCAGCATGATTACATTCTTATAAAGAGTTTTATTTAACAAAAGTATTGTGCGAAAGGAACATTTAAAACTTGTTTGTTAATCCAAGATAGTTTTGAAAACAATTGATTTATTTATAAAGCATAGTGATAAATCACATGTGATTTGAACTACAGATTGTGAATCACATGTGATTAACTCTGAAATATGAAAAATACTCTTGTATAACTTTTCATAAACATGTATATTCAACTTGTATCTCCCCCCTAAAACATATAAAACATTTGAAAGGTTCATTAAGGGGTATGAACTCACCTGAAATCGCGGAAATCGGGTAAATCGAGTAAATCGGGTAAAAGTGTCGATTGAGCGTTTGGTACCCAATAACCTCTTGAGCACCTCCTAGGACCCTAATGTCATATGAAATATGTATTTTACAAGAAGTTAATCATCTTGTGCTTTTCATTATAGTATTCGGACATTTTAGCATCGTTTTCGGGGTTTTAAGGCTTAGAAGGGGTTCCCGGGAGTGGTACAAAGTCATGAATGATTTACGGGAGGGTCCACGAGCTCACTCCCTTGGAGTTTATGGCCCAAAGGCCATCCTTTGGGATTTTATGGCCGTAAACCCCCTAGGTTTGGCCGTAAACTCTTGTGGCACTCCAAAGTGTATGTTTAAGGTCTTATTTCACTCCCTTGATTTAGTGGTGTGTGTCTTGGACCATTTTAAGGGATTAAACATCATAATTTGTGACATTTTTGGGGAGTTTATGGCCAAGACTTGTTCTTGGGCCGTAAACTCTTGTAAACCCTTTAAGATGTATGTTTTAATGGTACAACAAAGTCTCATACACCTTAGATAATTCCTAGAAGGCCCTATAGTGAGTTTGGGACAATTTGGCATACATTTTTGGGGAGTTTACGGCCCAAGAACATCCTTGGCCGTAAACTCTTCATTTTGTGTCCAAATGTGAAGTTTAATTGTACAACACACTTCCAAAGGCCTTAGCTAAAATCCTTACATGCATTTGAGGGGTTTTGGGACTTGTTTGACACAAATTTTTGGGTGTTTACGGCCCAAGCTTAGCCTTGGCCATAAACTCCTCTTTTTGCCATCAAATGATGTTGTTTGATGCATTTAAGCCTTCCTTGTTGTCAAGTCTAAATTGCCAAACATCCTAGATGAGTTTTTGGGACATTAAACAAGTGTTTTTGGGGTGTTTGAGGTGTTTACGGCCTAAGCACATGCTTGGGCCGTAAACTCCTTTTTACAGGTCAAATCCTTGTGTTTTAGTGTTCAAAGTCCCCTAGGTTTATGCCTTAACTAGTCTATAAGCTTAAAAGAAGGAAAAACAAGGATTTTGGTATGATTTTGGGGGTTTGCGGCCTAAGGAGCTTCTTAGGCCGTAAACTCCATTATGGTCCTTGATTCTCATGATTTTGGACTCTAAAAGCAGTAAAGTATGATTAGATTAAGTTAGGGGATGAATCCTTACGTTTGGAAGTCGGAAATTCGCGGATTTGGAGTCAATTTCGGGTCTAGAGAGAGAAAGTAGTGAGAGAGAGGTGTAATAGTGGTAAAAGAGTCCAATTGAAGTGTTCAAGTGTTTTTATATGTCTCGGGTATTGTACCCGATACACGGCTACCCGATGCTAAAGTTTAACGGGGTTAAAACTTTTTACCCGGGTGAAGTGGTTGAAATAGTAATGCAACTCTATTAGGTTAAACTAGATTAACACGTATGAGTTACATTACTTATAATGATATTAGGACATGCCTATAATTAGATATTCGGAAATTAACGATTTCAAATATTACATAAAATAACGTACGTTAACGTATTCCGTTAGTGAAAATGGGATTTGTAACGGGAATAGATTTGGGGTTGTCACAGCTTCACTTTTGGTTGTTCAATAACTGTTTTTTTTTTATGTCTTTGAACGTGTTTGAACTTTTCTCTTTTGGAAGATGATCATGTCTTCCTTGAGTATCTACATTCACTTTTTTAACTACAATTTTTGTCACACCCCAAAACCGATGGCGGAAACGTTCTGGGGCGGAGGACGTCATGTAGTATCGCAACCAATGTACGTAGTAAGCGTAGTAAACACAACCATTACATTACATAGAAATATTTACATTGTCTGAAAACAAAGTGTTACAAGTGTTATGCATATACATCGTATGAACAAAAGTTAAGACGAGTCTTCTATACGCTCCATGTTCTCCAAAAGATCATTGTGTACATGTTTACTGTGGACCTGAGAATACAAGCAGTTTGAAAATCAGCATAAAGCTGGTGAGTTGATAAGCAGTTTGTTTTCGTAAAAGAACAAGTTTCCTTCGGTTTTCTGAAAAAAGTCGTTATCCAAGAAAATCCCATATTTTCTTATAAGCAAGTTTTGGTTATCCATTTGTTACAAAATCAAGTTAGGAACAGTTCCTAATCCAAGAAAATCCCATATTTTCTTATATGTAAGTTTGGTTATCCGTTTATTATATAGTTTGGTTATGAATAGTTTGTTATCCCAGGAAAAACCCTTATTATCCTAAAAGTCATGGTTAGTTCTGTTGGATAAGGTGTTTAAGTCCATAACTTATTTGGTATATACTTGACCCGACCCAGCATGGTCCATTTGAGTTGCACTTCACCCAAACTATTTATGGATAATTTTATGAGAATTGTATACTACGATTTATTAATATATTATAATTTATAATATATTAATATAAAGTCATGATATTTAATTGGTTTTAGTCTTGAATTATTTATGAATTAATTTAGTGATTAAAAGGAAAACTAATTAAATTATGGGCTATTGCATTTATATGGTATGCGCTAATACTCATTTGTTAATGGGCTAAGCTTATATGGTAGTCCATGGATGATCCATGGAGCTTTAACCCATGGATCCTTGGAAGAGGAAAAGACATGGGTTATTAGGGTTTCACTCTAACCATGCACACTATATAAACAATCTTATGTTGCATGAAAAACACCCTAGTGTGTGTGTGTAATAGTGGTGGCCAAATTCTAAGAGTTAGTATACTCTCTCATATATTTTCCAAGTTTGTGGTGATTTGTGATTTCCAAGCATTCACATTATTGGTGCTTGGCTCTAAAACTCCAAGGAATCAACAATCAAAAAAAGGTATGTAATTCATCTAGTTCTTTTATGTTTAAAAGTACCCTCATGCCATGCTAGATAGGTTATAAACCTTGGAAAATAATATTTTGCATGTACCTTAGACAAACATAGATCCATGGTTTATTAGGGTTACATGTACACTTAGGAAGTGTTAGAATGCTCAAAACCCAACAGTGGTATCAGAGCCTAGGCTTGTTTGTTTGATACTTGATGCACAATAGTGAAAAAAAAGGTCGAATTTTTGCTATCTACCTGATGAACTCGCCGAGTCCATGGGGGGACTCGCCGAGTTCATGTGCAAATTCATCCTACTCGGCGAGTAGGTTCGTGCACTCGGCGAGTAGAATCCTCAGAATGCAGATTTTCGACTTTAGCTACTGGAAATGGACTAGAAACATTACCCTAAACTGTTTTGGTGTTTTAAAACTTGTTTTAGTTGGTGTGATGGTTGTTCTAATCCATTTATAATAGCTTATATCAAAATTTCATGCTTTGTATGTGTTCATATAATTCTTGAAACTTTGATGATCATGTTCATGTTCTTATGAATTTAGAAGATGATAGGAATTGTTTGTTGAATTGTTTAGGATTAATTCTTGATCATTTATGTGTTTTAAT